GGTATTCCTCCAAAATATTATAAATAATAAAATTAAACAACTATGGAAATGAAAAGAAAGGGTCAGCAGTGTGCGTTATGGCATGAACATTTGTTTCCCCCAGAATTTATATGCTGAAGATCTAACTCTCAGTGTGACGGGATTTGGAAATAGGGCCTTTGAAGTTAATTAGGTTTACATGAGGTCATGAGAGTGGGGTCCTTATGATGGAAATAATGCCTTTATAAGAAGAGGTCAGAAAGCCTGTTCAAGAACCAAATCAGCCATTGTCTTGGTTATAGACTTCCCAGACTCCAGGGCTGTGAAAAATAAATGTCTGTTGTTGAAAGCACCCAGTTTTTAACATTTTGTTATAACAGCCTGAGCAGACTAATACAGCATGTAAATATCATATAATGACAATAGAATAAACAATGTGGGTAAAAAATAGATAACAAAAGCATCTGGGACCATTACACCCTAAAGTCTGTTACAACTAAATAAATAAATTAAAAAATTAAAAATGCACCTTCATTATGTCAAAAGCAGGTAGAAAAAATATAACAATTATTTAAGAGTGTTTGTGTCCAAGCACATAGTACAAAATATCTACATAATATATCATTAAATCTTCATAACGAAGTAGTTTTATGCTCATGTGTCATAAATAAATGAATAAATTATGAACAATTGAAGCTTAGGGAAAATTATCAGCATTCCAGTTAATAATTAGTGGGAAATAAACCTAAATACGGTATAAGTGACTGAAGTATATTTAATAGAAAAATACGTTAAGGGGCCGGGCGCGGTGGCTCAAGCCTGTAATCCCAGCACTTTGGGAGGCCGAGACGGGCGGATCACAATGTCAGGAGATTGAGACCATCCTGGCTAACATGGTGAAACCCCGTCTCTACTAAAAAAATACAAAAAACTAGCCGGGCGAGGTGGCGGGCGCCTGTAGTCCCAGCTACTCGGGAGGCTGAGGCAGGAGAATGGCGGGAACCCGGGAGGCGGAGCTTGCAGTGAGCTGAGATCCGGCCACTGCACTCCAGCTTAGGTGACAGAGCGAGACTCCGTCTCAAAAAAAAAAAAAAAAAAAAAAAAAAAAGGAAAAATACGTTAAAATACTGAAGACAAAGAATGTTGTTCTGTAAGCTCGTAACGCAGCAATAAACAATTTCTATAAATTATTCCCAATATTAATGAACATGGAGAAATCAGTGAATAACACATTGAAAAATGAATGCCTAGGAGATGAAGTAAAACTTTGGTCTTTTTGGAATATTTAATAAATTCTTGATTTAATGATGAAAAAAATGAAGGCAATTCCAAATATGACAAACGAAAAGAGACATACAAAGAGATATGCGAGACATTTTTTAAATTCACAAAATGATACATGTTAACTCGAAGCTGGAAAACACAGATCACTAAGTGATTGTGCGAAGCAAACAACAAAATCATTAACTCGGAAGTTATACCAAAAATGCAAAGGAGCCTTCCCACCTCTGCACAAAACAACAAAAGCACAAAAGTTGTTAGGTTGAGACATTTCAAAGTAAATTATTTTATGACCTCAAGAAAAAGATCATATCAAAGCTATTTTATCAGTTCCAGGAAAGTTTCCAAAATGTTTAATCAAGTCAGCATAAAAATGATACCAAAATCTAGGAGAAAACGCATAATAAAATGCTGCAAAACACAGTTCATCCTCAGTTATATCAGTGAAATATCCTAAATTAAAGACTTGCCGATAGAATGCAGCGAAAACAGAGACAGAGCAAGAAAGGACGCCGAGCAGGAGCCCACGAGGTTCACGGTAAGAAAACAAGTGGCTGAGCAGCCGGAGAGAAAGCAGCCCGGGGGATTCGGCCATGTGACGTGCGGTGGACCCTGTGGCAGGGACCCGCCAGGCTGCCCGCCCCTCAGCCCCTCAGCCCCTCAGCCTCCACACTCCCTCAGCCCCTCAGCCCCTCAGCCCCTCAGCCCCTCAGCCCCTCAGCCCCTCAGCCCCCTCAGCGCCTCAGCCCCTCAGCCCCTCAGCCCCCTCAGTCGCCTCAGCCTCTCAGCCCTCAGGGCAGCCTCAGCCCCTCAGCCCCTCAGCCCCTCAGCCCCTCACAGCCGCCACAGCCGCCTCAGCGCCTCAGCCCCTCAGCCCCTCAGCCCCCTCAGTCGCCTCAGCCCCTCAGGCCCTCACAGCCGCCTCAGCGCCTCAGCCCCTCAGCCCCTCAGCCCCCTCAGTCGCCTCAGCCCCTCAGCCCCTCACAGCCACCTCAGCCCCTCAGCCCCTCAGCCCCTCACAGCCGCCTCAGCCCCTCAGCCCCTCAGCCCCTCACAGCCGCCTCAGCCCCTCACAGCCGCCTCAGCCCCTCAGCCTCTCAGCCCTTCAGCCCCTCAGCCCCCTCAGCCCTCCCTCAGCCCCTCAGCCCTCAGCCCTCAGCCCTCAGCCCCTCAGCCCCTCACAGCCGCCTCAGCCCCTCAGCCCCTCAGCCCCTCAGCCCCTCAGCCCTCAGCCCTCAGCCCCTCAGCCCCTCAGCCCTCACCCCTCAGCCCCTCAGCCCCTCAGCCCCTCAGCCGCCTCAGCCCCTCAGCCCCGTCAGCCCCCTCAGCCCCTCAGCCCCTCAGCCTCCTCAGCCGCCTCAGCCCCTCAGCCCCTCAGCCCGTCAGCCGGCTCAACCCCTCAGCCCCTCAGTCACCTCAGCCCCTCAGCCGCCCACGCCGCTGCTCGCTCACCCTCCCAGCTGCCTTAGGGGTCGGCGCTGCCCAACGGGCTCTAGCGCAGCCTCCTGCCCAGCGTCCCACCGGCCGCGCCTGCCTCTGGCTCCTGGCCACCAGCTAGTAGCCGCGCCCGTGAGCAGGGCCAGTCCAGGGAAGCAGACCCCGAGAGGCGCGACGGGATGGCAGGCGGTGTCTTCCAAACCCAAGCCTCCGAAAGCGGCAGCCGGGGGCGGGCTGCTGACCAACCGGGAGGTCCCGCTCTGTCCCAGCCTAGGCCTCCCGGAGCCATCACCCTCGAGGAGTCCCGGGCGGGGGGCACCGCCTGCTCCACGCTGTCGCGGGCTTCTGCCAGGCCATGATCCGTGCCCAACGCCAGCAAAGGGCAGTTTGTGCCCTAGAGTCGGGAGAAATGCATGCTTCCCGGGGATCTGAAAACTCCAGGTCCTCCTGCCAGGAGCCCACGGCCTCAGATGGGGACCAGGACGCGCCCACCTTGGGGAAGCGCCCCCTAGACCTGAGCCCGATTGTCCCCAACAAACCCCACACCCGCAGGCTGACGTTTGGGCTCCGGGGTGCGGTGTCATATGAAATGGGCACCGCGTGCTTTCCATGCAAAAGACGCGAAGTCTGGAGTTTATGAAATTATTGACGGAAAGCCGCACCAGTGCCAAGAGATCATGGCCCAGAGCTGGCAGAACTGATCAGATCAATGCTGAGCAAAAGGCCTGAAGAAGACCATCTGGAGGAGCATCCCGAGGGCCTTCCCCAAAGCACCAGATCACCTTCCTTTCCGAGGCCACAAAGGCCAGAATCTCCAGAAATAGCATGAAACACGGTGACTTGGTGACACCCAAGCCTGCTGCCACTGTGGTTTCCAGCAAGGCAGAATCAAGGCATGAAGTAATCCACCCCAACCACGCTCCTCTGAGGCTGAACAAGACATGATAATGGGTGAAGCCAAGTGTTCGTCCCAGGAGAGGCCCAGGGTGGTTGGTCTGTTAAGTCACCTGCCAGTCTGAAGACCCAGAGGACTTGAGCAATACCAAGAACTGGCCACGGTCAGTAGGGTAAATATTGACATCTTACCTGCAGAAGGGAGGGATGCAGCGAGCCAGGGCGGAGGTTGCAGTGAGCTAAGATCGCGCCATTGCACTCCAGCCTTGCACTCCAGCCTAGGGACAAGAGCGAGACTCTGTCTCAAAAAAAAAAAAAGAAAAGAAAAGAAAAGAAAAAGAAATAGAAAAGAAAAGAAAAAACAAAGAGAAAAAGAAAAGAGGAAGAAAACAAATTTACTGTCTTCAGTGGTTTGAAATAGCAAAAACTGGTTGCCAAATACAGTATGTGAAATAACTCCTGCTTAAATTGTTTAAGAAAGAAATTATATAGGGCAAACACAATAAATTAGTCTTGTGTGACATATTTTGAGTAACTGAAAATTCTTCTATTTGAAAAAGGAAAAGGAGTTTTGACTCATCTTGGCCAGCATTTAAAACACAAGCATAGCAGACACGGTCCTGCAGCCTCTTCCCGATGAGGGTCTTCAGTGGCATTTACCACAGTTGTCAGCTGATACTGTGTCTCTTCTGGGCCTGGGTAACTTCAGAGACCTCACTGGAAGCTTCTCCTCTCCTCAGGCTTCCAGAAAAGTAACAGCCAACCAGGGAAATAGAAATTATCATTTTAAACAATCTTGGCAAATTGTAGAAATTTTATTGGTACTGCTCACATCTCTAGGTTTTTGAGCATTTTTTTCCCACAAAGATTAGATGATAAACATTGCGTCTATGCTTCTACATGTGTTCATGACTCAAATGGCCTTTTTGACACTTGAGTTGCAACACTATTCTGAGGAAGTGAAACTGTTGAAATATATTTATAAATACATATATTCTTATCTATAATTTATTAACATACATGTTCAACAAACTGAAATGTTTACATTTTGGCAAACATCAATGAAGACCAGTATAATATTCAGTGAAATAGCTTCTTTAATTTTTAATCTCTTTCAATTTATGGCTTATTTGTTAATTTGTGAACATATTGTGTGTGTATATATGTAATTTTTTTTACACGGAATTTTGCTCTTGCTGCCCAGGCTGGAGTGCAATGGCATGATCTTGGCTCACCGCAACCTCCGCCTCCCAGGTTCAAGCAATTCTCCTGCCTCAGACTCCTGAGTAACTGGGATTACAAGCATGTTCTACCACGCCCAGCTAATTTTGTATTTTTAGTAGAGACAAGGTTTCTCCACATTGGTCAGGCTGCTCTCCAACTCCTGACGTCAGGTGATCTGCCTACCTTGGCCTCCCAAAGTGCTAGGATTACAGGTATGAGCCACCACGCCCAGCCTCCTGCACCTATCTTTGTCCAGATGCACATAACTGTTATCCTCTGCCTGTCCAGTAATGTATATTAGGATTGTGTTGGTAGAAGGGCTGAGGCAGGGCTTGCTTGTCTGACATAATGTAGAAGAGTCTTGGAACATGTCCTGGGTCTAGGGTCTAAAACCCCTTGTGGCCTACGGAACACCAAGCTCTGTGCCAAAGGATGGAAGGCTGCCCTGCTGCACTACAATCTAAGCCCAGTGCATAAAACCCCTTGTGGCTTGGAGAGCACCCAGGGCTCAGGGCATAAGGCCCCTCATAGCTTCTGGAATGTGTCCAGACTCGCTGGCCCCTTGCTTCTTGCTCTCCCAAGATCATAAATTAGTTGTATCTTGAATTAGAAGAATCTGTTCTCCCTTATCTCAAGTAGCAGAGCATATGCTAAAACATCACAGCTACGCTTGATGCACCGCTACCTTTCTACCCCCATGTACTCACATCCTCACCTGTCTACACCCACATCTGCATGTCCTCACCACCTGCTTCTTTGTTCGATTATCAATAAATAGTGTGGGCTTCCAGAGCTCACAGCCTTCGCATCCTCCATACTGGCATTGGTCCCCTGGACCCACACTGTGTACTCTTAACTTGTCTTGTCTCATTCCTTTGATTCCGCCAGACTTCATAACCTCCATGACCTGGTGTTGGGTCTGATCACCCCAACATTTCTGGTGTGCCAATGTGGGGCTATGAAGACTCTGGTGAGGGAACGCTAGAGCATGTGAAAGCAGGGGATCCATCGTCAGAGGACACCTGAGGACAACTGAAAGAAGCTTGGCGGGTAAGCTAGGTGCTCGGAAGAATCAGGGTAACAATGGGACAGAATGAAAGCAAACATTCTGCTTATTTAAACTTTCTAAGGCACTTATTATGGAGATGGGGAGCAAAAGTTAATACTCAGAATTTATTAAAACTCTTTAGTACAGTAGAGCAGTTTTGCCCATGGTTCCCAGAACAAGGGACTATGGAGTTGGATGAACGGGAAAGAATTGGCAGAGATTTTTAAAAGGCGTATAAAGAAGGAGCCAAAATTCCAGTTTCTGTTTGGTCGGTGTGGGCATTGATAAAGGCAGCTCCTGAGCCATTTCAAACAGATGATTAGGCAGATTCAGATGAGGAAGAGGAAGATGAGTGTAAAAAAAAACTAACTTCGGATTCTGAATGCAAGGAGCAAAAATCGGAGAAAATTAAAGAAAAGGGAAACTGAAAAAGGTATGTTTTACTAGCCCGTTGGCTGTGCCTGCTGAATTAAGTGAATGGCCACCTCCTCCCCTTCCCCGTAATGGGCGAGAAAATGAATTAGCTGTAAAACTAACTGCTCCTGTAGTTGCAACATTAAAACCTGGAGTGATTGTTGGTGCTATACAAAATTCTATTCAAAAAGCTAGAGCTGAGGGAGACCCAGAAGCATGGCAATTTCTAGTTACTATAACCTAGCAAGGAGGGCAAAATATAGCTAATTGGGCCACTTTTCTTTTAAGCTATTAAAGGAATTTAAGCAAGCCGTTAGTCAATATGGGCCAAATTCTCCTTTTGTACAAACGTTACTAAAAAATATGGCTCTTGATAATAGATTAATACCATATGACTGGGATACTTTAACAACATCTGTTCTCACTCCGTCTCACTACTTACAGTTTAAAACCTGGTGGGTTGATAAAGCACAAACTCAGGCAAAGGAAAACACACCAGCACAGCCTCCTGTGCCTATTTCTTTTGAACAGTTAATGGGGGTCGGCCCTAATTGGGAATGATTAGAAAATCAGGCAGTGATGGAGGATGTTGGCATTGCTCAGCTGTGCACCGTGTGCTTACGGGTGTGGGAGAGAATAAATGTTATAGGAGAAAAATATCCTTCTTTCAGTTCTGTCCGACAAGGACCTAAAGAACCATATGCTGATTTTATTGCTTGGCTCCAGGAGGTTGTGCATAAAGCTATAACCGACAAAACAGCTCAGGATGTTGTAATACAGCCTCTTGCATATGATGATGCTAATACAGAGTGTCAAAATGCTATTAGACCTGTGAGAGGGAAGGCTCATTTGGCTGAATATATTAAGGCTTGTGATGGCATTGGAGGTAACTTACATAAGGCTACTCTTTTAGCTCAAGCTATGGCTGGACTAAAGGTGGGGAGAAATATGCCCCATTTCTCAGGCTCTTGTTTTAATTGTGGGCAATTTGGACACACAAAAAAGGAATGTGGAAAAGGAAATCAAAAGACAAAAACTATTACCATCAATCAACAGAAAAGTCCCCACGTATGCCCCCAATGTAAGAAGGGCAATCACTGGGCAAATCAGTGTCATTCTAAATTTAGCAAAGATGGGCAACCCCTTTCAGGAAACAGGAAGAGGAGACCACCTCGGGCCCCTCAACAAACTGAGGTGTATCCGGCACAGTCAGTGCCCTTACAAACGTACAACAATTGTCCCCCACCACAGCAGGCAGTGCTGCCGTAGATCTCTGCAGCACAATTTCTGTCTCTTTACTTCCTGGGGAGCCATCAAAGAAGGTGCCCATGGAAGTTCGGGGCCCTTTACCCTCAGGAACAGTTGGTCTATTGCTTGGAAGGTCTAGCTTAAATTTAAAAGGTGTCACTGTACCTGCAGGAGTAATTGATTCTGATTATGCCAGAGAGATTCAACTAGCTATTGGTTCCTCAACTCCATGGTCTGCTTCCCCAGGAGAAAGAATTGCTCAGTTGTTGCTGTTACCTTATACAAAACTGGGAAGCAGCAGAGTAAAAAGAACAGGAGGATTTGGTAGTACTAACCCAGCAGGAAAAGCTGTATATTGGGTTAATCAAGTGTCTGATAAGAGACCTATTTATACAGTAACCTTTCAGGGAAAGGACTTTGAAGGGCTAGTAGATACTGGAGCTGATGTTTCTATTATTGCTTTAAATCAATGGCCCCGACACTGGCCCAAACAAAAGGCATCCGTTGGTATTGTTGGAGTAGGGGCTGCTTCAGAAGTTTTTCAGAGTTCTTTAATTTTACCATGTCAAGGTTCGGATGGCCAGGAAGGGATAATTCAACCTATTATTACACCTATTCCTGTCAATCTATGGGGTAGAGACTTATTGCAACAATGGGGTGCTGAAATATCTATTCCTATGGACCAGTGTAGTAATAACAGTAAACAAATAAGAAAAATGGGATATCTCCCAGGTAAGGGACTAGGAAAAAATGAAAATGGCCAACCAGAACCTTTAGAACTAAAAGGGCAAACAGATTGAACCGGATTAGGGTATCATTTTTAGGAGCGGCTGTTGCCGAGCCTCCGGCTCCCATTCCTCTTGTTTGGCTAACTGCCAAACTGGTTTGGATGGAGCAATGACCACTGAAACAGGAAAAACTGGAGGCTTTAAAAGAATTGGTGCAGGAACAATTGCAAAAGGGACACGTAGAGCCTACTTTCTCTCCTTGGAATTCTCCTGTGTTTGTTATTAAGGAAAATATGTTATGAAGGTAAATGGAGAATGTTTAACAGATTTAAGGGCTGTTAATGCTATAATTCAACCCATGGGCATGCTGACACCAGGGCTGCCCTCTCCAACTATGATTCCTAAATACTGGCCTCTCATAGTGATAGATATAAAAGATTGCTTCTTTACCATTCCTTTAGTGATCCAAGATTATGGAAAATTAGCTTTTACTGTTCCCACTATAAATAACAAAAACCAGTGGATAGATACCATTGGAAAATATTACCACAAGGCATGTTAAATAGCCTGACTATTTGCCAAACTTATGGCAGAAAAGCTATTAAGCCAGTTAGAGAACAATTTTTAAAATGTTATCCATTGCATGGATGATATTCTGTGTGCAGCTGAAACTAGGGAGGAATTAATGCTATGCTACAAACAGAAAAGGCTGTGACTGCAGCAGGATTAATCACAGCCCCCGATAAAATCCAAACTTCTACTGCCTTTCAATATTTAGGAATGAAGGTAGAACAAAGTGCTATTAAGCCTTAAAAGGTTCAAATTTGAAGAGATAATTTAAAAACTTCAAATGACTTTCAAAGATTTTTAGGAGACATTAATTGGATTCGTCCAACTTTAGGCATTCCTACCTATGCTATGTCTCACATTTTTTCTACCTTATGAGGTGATTCTAACTTAAACAGTAAATGTGCCCTATCCAAAGAGGCATTAGAGGAACTTCAATTAACTGAAGAAAAAATTCAACAGGCACAAGTGAAGCAAACCCTATGCAGCCATTACAGTTTTTAGTTTTTCCTACTAAACATTCACCTACAGGAAGTACTGTTCAACAAAATGATCTGGTTGAGTGGCTTTTTCTACCTCACAATACAACTGAAATGGTCACTCTGTACTTAGATCAAATTGCTGTACTAATAGGACAAGCAAGGCTGCACACAACAAAGTTAATAGGATATGATCCAAATCAAATTATAGTTCCATTAAACAAACAACAAATTCAGCAAGCTTACATTAATTCCCAGGAATGGCAAGTTAATTTGGCAGGGTTTTTGTTGGCATTCTTGATAATCTTTATACTAAATCTAAGATATTTCAATTTCCAAAATTAACATCCTGGATATCACTTTCTGTTACTCAAAAAGCCCCTATTGAAGGGGCCATTACTGTTTTTACTGACGAGTCTAGTAATGGAAAAGCCTCACTTGTGGGACCTCAACAACAAGTTTTTCAAACTGACATTGCTTCTGCTCAAAGGGCTGAACTTACAGCTGTAATTACAGTACTGAAAACTTTTAAACAGCCAGTTAATATTGTTTCTGACTCAGCTTATGTGGTGCAAGTCACACAAAATATTGAAAGTACTTAATTCGTGATGTGATTGCTGAACAACTTAATCTTTTATTTCATTCTTTACAACAAGCAGTACAACAAAGACATTCCCCTTTCTATATTACTCATATAAAAGCACATACTAACCTCCCTGGTCTTTTAACTAAACTTAATCAAAGGGCAGATGCACTGGTTTCTGCAGCTTTTGCTAAATGACAAACATTCCATTCTTCAATGCATCTTAACGCTGCAGGCCTCAGAAAAAGATATGGCTTATCCTGGAAGCAGGCTAAGGAGATTGTAGAACACTGCTCTGCCTGTCAAGTCCTGCATCTGCCACATCAAGGAGCAGGAGTCAACTCTAGAGGTTTATCTCCAAATTCCATGTGGCAGATAGATGTAACACACATTCCCACTTTTGGAAAATTGTTCTTTGTTCATGTTTCAGTAGATACTTAGTCACATTTTATCTGGGCCATGTGTCAAACAGGGGAAGCTACAGCTCATGTTAAAAGACGTCTTTTTTCTTGCTTTGCAGTTATGGGAATCCCAGAAAAAATCAAAACTGATAATGGCCCAGGGTATTGCAGGAAAGCCATGGCTACATTTTTTTTTAACACTGAAACATTATTCACACTACAGGTATTCCATATAACTCACAAGGACAGGCAATAGTTGAAAGAGCTAATCATACTTTAAAAACTCAAATACAAAAATAAAAAGAGAGAGATCAGGAATGTAAAACACCCCATATGCAATTATATTTAGCTTTATTAACATTAAATTTTTTTAATTTACAAAGAGATCAACCCATGACAGCAGCTTAACAACACTTAACAGGACAAAAAGAAAATAAAAAAGCTGGACAAGATGTATGGTGGAGGGATGCACATACAAAGAGTTGGGAAAAAAGAAAAATAATTACATGGGGAAGAGGATTTGCTTGTGTCTCTCCAGGTGACCATCAGGTGCCTGTATGGGTGCCCACCAAACATCTGAAGATCTATCATGACCCTCACCGGGAAGAGAGGACTCTATGAAGAGCCAGAACTCCTGATGCAAGTGATAGCATGAATGAACTCTCAGAGACAAAGGAAAAGACCAAAAATACTCCCAGGCAGATCCTCCAACATGGGGACAAATCAAGAAACTGGTGCAGATGGCAGAAGACAATCTGAGAGCACAGAACAAACCAAAAACAACTAGTAACGTAACAGTGGCTATGATGGCAGTACTCACTGCGGCAGTAAGCCTCCCTACTGTAAGAGCAACTCAAAATTTTCCTTATTGGGCATATGTCCCATTTCCTCCTTTAATTAGGTCTGTGAGTTGGATGGAACCTGTTATGAGGTGTATACCAATGACAGTACCTGGATGCCTGAGCCCATAGATAACTGAGGGCCAATGCATGCTAATGAGGAAGGGATGAAAATAAATATATCAATAGGATATAAATATCCTCCAATATGCCTAGGATCTGCCACTGGATGCTTACAAATTTGCACACAAGTTTGGTTGGCAGTAATCCCTGGAAAAAATAAATCACAGGCTACCTTGCATATGATTTCAGGGCAAAGTTTAAAATACAAACATTCTCACCCTAAAACTCAGCAGTTCCATCCAAACGAACTCGAATGTAAACAAAATAGAGTTTGGTTTGAAGGTGTGGATGCTTGAAATTGGGAAAATTGTATAGCAAGTAAGGCTGAGGTGCTACAAAATAATTCCTATGGAATCGTCATTGATTGGTCCCCTAAGGGCATTTTTAAGAAAAATTGCACTAGAGGGCCTTCTTGTAAAATAGGCCAATGGAATCAGAAAAAAACTATACACAGTATATTCAGACAGAAGCTGATGTCTCTATCATATGGAGCCCTGGTGGCATTGTCACTCCTAGTCCAAAAATGGTATCTCCTGCCATAGGACAGGAACATTCAGAATTATGGAAATTAGCTATGGCTCAAAGTTCAATCAAAATTTGAGAGGGTAAATATAATAAGTATAAAGGAGAGGGAGGGCCGGGCGCGGTGGCTCAAGCCTGTAATCCCAGCACTTTGGGAGGCCGAGACGGGCGGATCACGAGGTCAGGAGATCGAGACCATCCTGGCTAACACGGTGAAACCCCGTCTCTACTAAAAAGTACAAAAATCTAGCCGGGCGTGGTGGCGGGCGCCTGTAGTCCCAGCTACTCGGGAGGCTGAGGCAGGAGAATGGCGTGAACCCGGGAGGCGGAGCTTGCAGTGAGCTGAGATCCGGCCACTGCACTCCAGCCTGGGCAACAGAGCAAGACTCCGTCTCAAAAAAAAAAAAAAAAAAAAAGGAAAGGGAGGTAAAGATAAATATGTTCTCTCCTTTCTTTCTAACAGGACCTTTTGGATTCAAAGTTGTGTCCGGCCACCTTTTATGTTAGCAATAGGAAATATTACTCTTGACATGAATACCCGTTTTATCACCTGCCCTGAAGGTCACTTGTTTACTTGCATTAACTCAACCTTTGATAAAAACCAAACTATCTTGTTAATTAGAGCCAGAGAAGGAGTTTGGATCCGTGTGTCTCTAAATAGACCATAGGAGTCATCACTATCCATTCATATTGTAACTGAGATCCTTAAAACACTCTTATCCCATTCAGAAAGATTTATAGTTGCTCTTATATTTGCTGTAATTGGCCTCATTGTGGTTACCACTACTGCTGCAGTAGCTGGTGTGGCTTTACACTCATCTGTGCAAACTGTTGAATTTGTTAATAAATGGCAAAAGAATTCTGCAAAAAAAATTATGGAACTCTCAAGCGTAAATAGATCAAAAGATAGTTAATCAAATTAATGATCTCTGTCAGACAGTGACTTGGATAGGAGAATGCATTATAAGTTTAGAAACTAGAATTCAAATGCAATGTGATTGGAATACATCCGATTTTTGCATTACTCCTTGTGGTTACAATGAAACAGAACACCAATGGGAAAGAATTAAATGCCATCTAGAGGGAAGAGAGGAAAATCTCACCCTCAATATTGTAAAATTAAAAGAACAGGTTTTTGAAGTCTCTCAGGCTCACTTAGCCCTGCTCCCAGGAAGTGATATTTTAAGCAAGGCAGCCGATGGGTTGTCTGCACTCAATCCTCTTAAATGAATTAAGACCATTGGAAACTCTACACTTGGAAATTTTGTTCTAATAATTATGTGCTTGTGCTGTCTCCTTTTAGTCTATAGATGCAGAAGCTGCCTCTGGAGAGAAAGCCGCCGCCAAGAACAAGCAACGATAGCTGTGGCAGTTTTGCAGAACAAAAAAGGGAGACATGTTGGTAGAAGGGCTGAGGCAGGGCTTGCTTGTCTGACATAATGTAGAAGAGCCTTGGAACATATCCTGGGTCCAGGGTCTAAAACCCTTTGTGGCCTATGGAACACCAAGCTCTGTGCCAAAGAGTGGAAGACTGCCCTGCTGCACTACAATCTAAGCCCAGTGCATAAAACCCTTCGTGACTTGGAGAGCACCCAGGGCTCAGGGCATAAAACCCATCATAGCCTCTGGAAAGTGTCCAGACTCGCTGGCCCCTTGCTTCTTGCTCTCCAAAGATCATAAACTGATTGTATCTTGAATTAGAAGAATCTGTTTTCCCTTATCTCAAGTAGCAGAGCATATGCTAAACCGTCACAGCTACGCTTAATGCACTGCTACCTTTCTACCCCCACATCCTCACGTCCTCACCTGTCTACCCCCACGTCCACACCACCTGCTTCTTTGTTTGATTACCAATAAATAGTGTGGGCTCCCAGAGCTCAGAGCCTTTGCAGCCTCCATACTAGCATTGGCCCCTTGGACCCACCCTACTACATACTCTTGTCTCATTCCTTTGACTCCGTTGGACTTCGTAGCCCCCACGAGCTGGTGTTGGGTTTGATCACCCAAACAGATTGTTGGAGGAAATAACTTGTTTCTTTAGCTTCACAGGTCCACAAATTAAAAGTGTGCCCCCAGGAGCTGCACTAAATGATTTGTAACATCTGCACCTGATTTAGAACATTTAGAAGGTAAGATTTTAAACTTCAAGTTTATGATGTTTAGGGGCCATTTTGGACTTTGAGGTGATTAGACAATATGATTTAGATAATAATACTTTGGATCTGAGCTGATGATGAGACAAAATCTTTGAGAGGGCGTAAATGTATTTTGCCTTTAGGGAAAATAAGACCATTTGAAATTTAGAGGGAACTGTATGGTAGGTGATACGAAGATTTCTTCTCAGATTTTCTTCCATGGTAAACAATTACCATGCTGTAGGAAAGGCTGCATGCAACAGAATGGTGGGCAGCCTCTAGGAGTTGAGAGCAACTCTCCATTGACAGGCAAAAAGAAACCAGAATCTTCAGTCACGTAACTACAGGGACTGAATTCTGACAAAAACCACTGAGCTTGGAAAATGGCCTGAAATAAAATAACAGCCCTGCATCCAACTTGGAAAGGAAAACCTCAGATTCTCTTTGTTTGCAGGTGATACAATCTTCTATTTGGAGAAACCTAAAGACTCCACCAGAAAACTAACAGAATAGTTAAACAAATTTAGTTAAGTTGCAGGATACAAAATTAACATACAGAAATCAGTAGTATTTCTCTATGCCACAGTGAACAATCTAAAAAAGAAATTAAGAAAGAAATCCCATTTACAATAGATACAAATAAAACACTTAGGAATAAATTTAACCAAAGAAGTGAAAGATCTCTACAAAGAAAACTATGAAGCATTGGTGCAGGAAATTGACGAGAATACACACAATTGACATATATTCCATGTTCATAGATTGGAAGAATCAATATTGCTAAAATGTCTATACTACCCAAAGCAATCTACAGATTCAATGCAATCCCTGTCAAAATACCAAGGACATTCTTCACAGAAGTAGAAAAAATAATCCAAATGGAACCACAAAAGACCCAGAATAGCCAAAACTACCGTAAGCAAAAAGAACAAAATTGGAGGCATCACATTACCTGACTTCAAATTATAGTACAGGACTATAGTAATCAAAACAGCAATGGACTGGCATAAAAACAGACACATAGACCAGTGGAAAAGAATAGAGAACCCAGGAATAAATCCCCATGCCCCAGGGCCCTTTCCTGTCTCCCCTTGTGTTCAGGGGTGGCTGCTGCTCTGAGAACATTAGAACAGGGAAGAGAGATGGAGCCAGTGCATTCTTGGTGGGTATTATCCTAAACTTTTATATCCAAGTGAATCCCCCTTATTCACTATGGCATTGCCTAAGCATTGCCCTGTGACGGCTGCTAAAGAACTTCTCGCCGGAGGCAGGCAGTGGCCATGGGCACTGCCCCTTGCATTAGGTCTTGTGTTTGATGTGCTCTTGTGAATTTACTTTGTTAGAACAAAATATTTCCATGGTGGTCTTGGGAATCTCTTCCTTTAGCTCCCAATCTGCTATGAAATTCAGGAAAACACTTTTCCTTTTTCCTAGTACCCTCCTGTGTAGGTGCTGATTGTTTCAAAGTGTGTCTGATCACTGAGGGACCCCCTGGGTGACCCCAGACTCATTCACACCATGTATGAAAAATCGCCTGCATTTCTGAGATGCTGGCTGCCCGTTCAGTGCTTCACAGGAAGACACATGGGCTTTCCCTCTTCAGATGCCTGAAGGGAGTGCTTTGAGCTGAGTGGTTTGCTGGCCTCCCTCCAGCCCTAGGGCCCTCCATGGGTCTCAGCTCCCTGGAGGGTCACTGCAACCTCCCTGAAGGTTTCCTCTTGCACTGGCACCACTGCAACATATAGACCTGAGTACTATTGTATTCTGGCTTGGTGTGTATGCTTTTCACTTTGTAAAACTGCCGTTCTTTTGACAATTCAAGTGACTGTTTTGTTTACTATATCCTTGAAAACCAAAATTGTAACAAAAACATTCCCATGACAGTGCTGTGGTTGGAGACTTTATTACCAACAGATTTACACCTTCCTTTTCCCTCTCATTTTCAGGAGCTGTTTCAGGACTCCTCCTCCCCCTCGCCCCAATAACTTGAGTCTTTCCTATGTCATAATAAAGCTACATTTTCTTCTGAAAACTGGCAGGTTCTCACTTCCTAACACAGACAGCCTAGGAGAGGGTGGCAGGAGGGAGAAGAGCAGCCAGGGCACACCGGCCTGAATGGGGGCGTTCCTGGTACGAGTCAGTGGCCAGAGCTGCAGCCTGTTTTTGTGCCCAAAGTCTTGACTGGGGGTCAGGAAGGCCACGCATTCACATTTCATCTCTTTTTGTGACTGGTCTGCTGCTGGTTGACCTTTGTTCCTCCTTTTTTGGGCAGGAAGGTGACATCCAGGATTCAGGACAGCCTTCTGACTTGGGTGTGCATGAAAGTCACCTGAGGCCCTTGATGTGCAGGAATCCTTGCCAGGGTTGGATTGCAAGCCCCAGGCTATGGTATAGCAATGTGCATTTTGTAGCAAGCTCCCTGCGTGATGGGAGAGTCACAAATGGAAAGAAATACTATAATCAGTGGAGAGAAGATGTGCACAGCTATACAAGTGTACAGTTCTGTGACAGATCACAAGGTGGGGGTGGATCTCCCAGCAGTCCCACCTACTTCCCTTGCCCTCAGTGGGTCAGGAGTCTCCTGCTTGGCCTCATCTTCGATTCTGAAGCCTGAGTTCTGAACAGTTCTGCCCCCTACTTTTTCACATGCCTCTGTGGCAAACCTGTTATTTGACTTTTATTTGACAGAGCCTCACTCTGTCACCCAGGTTGGAGTACAGTGGTGCGATCTCGGCTTACTGCAAGCCCCGCCTCCTGGGTTCATGCCGTTCTCCTGCCTCAGTCTCCTGAGTAGCTGGGACTACAGGCGCCCGCTACCACGCCCAGCTAGTTTTTTGTGTTTTTAGTAGAGATGGGGTTTCACCGTGTTAGCCAGGATTGTCTGGATCTCCTGACCTCGTGATCCGCCCGCCTTGGCCTCCCAAAGTGCTGGGATCACAGGCATGAGCCACCACGCCCAGCCTATTTGACTTACTTTACATGGAAACATCAAGAACACCAGAGAATGCCCCAGGGTTCCAGGCTTAGTCCCATCTCTTCATTTTAAATAGAACCATTGTTGTCTTCCCCTGGGGGAAGCTTCACTCTGCCTGAGTCCTAAGACTTTCCAACCAGCAAAGCTCCATTTCTCCAGGACAGGAATAGGAAAACTTTGTGACTGAGACATTCAGTGCAATACTGAACATCGTCCACTTTCACACTTTCACTCTGAGAACTACACCTTCTGGGTGTCGGAGAGTCAGTACCGTATACTGGACTCCAGTAGAAAGCGTAACATTTATCTTGTAAAACAAACCATCACTTCAGCGTAACTGAGCGATCCTAAGCCCAGTTGCTTCCAGGCGGCGACTGATGTAGTGAGAACAGTTAGTTCCCTGGTCAGGGGCCACTGCTGCACGTCCCTCGCTGTGAATGAAGTGACGTGGTCAAAAGCAATGCCGTGTGCGCTGCCATGATGGTGACAGGAAGGACGAGCAAGTCTATATCCAGGTAGGGGTTCCCTGCAGTGAAGGCCAATCTCAGCCCCCTCCACAGTGTGGGCAGCCTGCCCACAGGTGGTCAGCCGGTCCTCCTGGGAAATAGTGCCAGCCCAGGGAGCCACACCAAGTCCCTCGTCAGCAGATGGGATGCTTGGCAGTGGTGTTGGCCTGGTCAGCCTTGGTCAGGGCACGTGCAGCATGCTGAGCCTCTTCTGTCCCATGCCTGTCTGATGGCCACTTTGTCCCCGTCTAACATGGTGGCCAGGGAAAGAAGCTGACTCCATCTCTTGGCATGCCGTTTTGCCCACCTTTGATCAAGAGCATCCTCTGCAGGGATTCTCTTTGGTGGGAACAATGGAAATGTGGATGAAACCACCTTCACAGTCTGAGCCCCTGAGGCTCCTCTGCATTCTAGGAAGCCTGACTGGAAGGAGCTTGGCAGCGGTGCCTGCTGTGGTTGTGGCAGCGGCTGAGCTGCAGGACAAGGCTTCCAGGAGGGGGGTGGTGTGGCAGGCAGGGCCTCAAAGCCTCCAGGTGGCATGTTGGCATAGCAGACCTGGGCACTCGGGGTGCTGTTGGGCCAGGCTCCGGAGTGCAGACTGCCTGCACTGCAGTGATGGAGTTGGGAAGAGGCAGCGGTGTTCACAGCTGTTGACCCCCTTGTGCCAGCTGCCCATATCATCACTGTACGGGCTCAGCATCTCTGGCCCAGCTTGCCCAGGTTGTCTGATGTGAATTCTCGCAGCACCCAGGGCTCGCTGTGCCCTAGTCCCCTGTGTGGGCCTGTGGTGCCCCTCTCCCCCTAGGACTCAGGTTGAAGGCAGGTCCCTCTGGGCCGGGGACTTGGGCCCTGGGGGAGGGGCTGTGACCCACAGGTGGGGTCAGGGGCCCCAGGGCACGCTGCTGCCTGGCTGGGGCTGTGGGAACCCCATGCTCAGCCTTCCCTCCTGAGGCCGTGAGGGGACCAAGTCCCCCACTAAGTATTTCCCAAGGCCCAGAAGACAAAAATATAAAATAAAAAAAAAATAACAGTAAAAATCAAGGTCCAGCAGCCATCTGGGGCCGCGAGGCAGCCGGGCAGGTGCTGCCTGGGCTCCCTCCATGCCATGTTGTTCTTCTACTGAGGGGAGTAGCGGGCAGGGGACACCTTGTTGCAGGGGTATCTCTCGAAGTGCCTCCTCCCTGTCATAAACCCAGGCAGGGCCTGGTGTCGCGGTCCCAGTGGGCTCGCTGGGCGGGGTGCGTCTTGTTGTTCCAGGGCTGCTGTCCACAGAAGATGGAGAAGTGACAGAGTCCCAGGAGCCGTGTTCAAAATGGCAGCACAGGAAACATGGACCCCCGACATGCGGGTCTGTGTGGAGCTGTGGTGTAGAGTTCCTGGACAAGTGTTTCCGTGTAATACAAAGCCTGACCTCACCGGGGGACAGGCTGCTGTCATCTTGAACCTCTGGGCACCCCAGAGAACGGCCTGCTGCCCTGGGTTCTTGAGAAGCCCCTGGGCCCCTGACATGCAGGTCTGTGTGGAGCTGTGGCATAGACTTCCTGGACAAATGTTTCCGTGTAATACGAAGCCTGACCTCACCAGGGGACATCCTACCCTCATCTTGAGCCTCTGGGCCCGTCGGACAGCAGTCTTCTGCCCTGGGTTCTGGGGAAGCCCCCTCAGAGTCCCAGGAGCTGTGTTCAAAATGGCAGCACAGGAAACATGGACCCCCGACATGCGGGTCTGTGTGGAGCTGTGGCCTAGCGTTCCTGGACAAGTGTTTCCGTGTAATACAAAGCCTGACCTCACCCGGGGACAGGCTGCCATCATCTCGAGACTCCGGGCCCCTCAGACAGCAGTCTTCTGTTCTGGGTTCTTGAGAAGCCCCTTCGTGCTGATGGACCTCAGCCTGGGCCTTGGGGACAGCCCCGTTAGGCCAGGCTGGCAGAGGACAAGGCTTTTGTCCCAGGGGGACTGATGGCATGAGCTCCTGGAGCTGAGCTGGTGGGGTGGGGATGGCCAGTCTGTCCCCCTCATGGAGGGGCCCAATGCCAGGGGACACCCTCGAGGACCATTGCTCCAGCTCGGCTGAAAAAAAAGAAGCAGACATGGTCAGCATCTTCTCCAAGCCCATCTGGTCTCTTGAGGGCTACGCCCCACAGGCCTGAGTCTCTGGAGTCCTCTGGGTCCCTGTGCGGCCCCCTGGTCTGACACTGAGGATGACCCTGCAGGCTGCTGATTCCAGGGCGCAGTCCGTGTGCAGTCTGGGGTGGGGGAGCTTTCGGGGAACCTGAGGTTGCTCCTGAAATGGCCCCCAGGGTTCAGGGTGGCTCAGGGCTTCCTGCTTCACGCCCTCACCTCAGGGCAGTTTGGCAGCCCTGCTTCAGGACTCAGCTGGGAGGGACGTGCACTGTCACCCAGCCCCCTTGCCACCTCACATGGGGGCCTGTCTCCACAGAGGGTGAGAAGGGAATGGGCACAGCTTCCCCTCTACCCTCCAGGCCGCCTACCCCATGCCAGGGCTGCAGCGATCCCACACCGGGCTGAACTCTTGGTTGTGGCTCTGGGTCAGGGCTTCCCCCAATGCCCTCTGCCCAAATCCTCTCTGGGTCAGGGACACTGATTCTCTTGTCCCCCTGGCTTTTTGTTTTGACACCCTTGGAGGGCACTAGAGAATGAGGGGTCTCTGCTGCTTGGAGGTGGGGGTGAGGGCTTCCACAGCTGGGTCTGACTGCCCCAGTGTCCCTCAGGGCCCTTTGAGGGGGTGAGGGGGACAATGTGGAAAGTGGAGGAGGGGTTGGGGGGTCCTGCCCATGCCCCCTGCTTGTCCACTCAGCATGTCCGGCACATGCATGCACTCAGTGCCTGCCCTGAGGACTGGCAGACCCATTTGAGTTTCTTAGAGGAGGAAGTGGAGGAAGAAGGGGTGCAGGAGGAAGGCCAGGTAGGAGGGCTGGTGGGGCACTCCCCACCATTGACTGTCCCAGAGGGAGACTTGGGAGGGGACCTGGTGCTGGGGCTCACCTGGGGGTGGCAGGTCCCAGTGTTTTTTTGTGAGTTCCTTCATAGAGGCTTGAAGATTCCTGAGGACTCTGTTGTCCTCCAGGGCCCAGCTCTGAGACAGTCGCTCCTGAAACTCCCAGATGGTGCTCCAGGAAAGCTTCATGAGGCGCTCTAGGGACAGGGCGGGCATCAGGCCAGGAGGGTTCCCTGGGAGGGGTCAGTGCCTGCAAGCCCATTTCCACCAGGCCCACCTCCCACTGGGTGGTGCCTGGTCCTTTTTGGCCACCCGGGGGTCCAGCTGTGCACAGGAGGCTACAGTTGAGGAAGGCCGGGCAGGGAAGTGCTCACCACACTCCTGACTTTTATCTGGGTCATGTCAGGGGTGGACTCAGTGTCATCATGCCTTGCCCAGCCCACCAGGCCAGACCCCCCAACCCGGATGGAGCAGACAGTGTAAGGACATGTCCCTCAGGCCAGCGGGGTCTGTCCCATGTGTTCCCCCAAGCACCCTCGGGCACATGGGACTTACTCCTGTGTATTTTGAATGATGCATGCGCCATGGCTGTCAGTAATCGCTTGCCCTCCAAGATGAGCACATCCCACAGTCTCATGGTGAGCCGGAAGGATTTCTGTGGGGACAGCAAGTGTGAGAGAACTCGGCCTTACAAGCTGGGGCCAGTGGCCTGAGCAGGTCCCACTGGGGTTTCAGTCCCCTGAAGTGCTGGGGATCCCCTCCATGGGATGAGACCCCCCTGTAAGACTGAGTCAGACAAGGTCCTGTAGCTCCTCATGGGGGACTCATCTCAGCAGCGCCGTGACTTCTGGAAGGAGGGGTTTCCTGAGGACTTGGGGCTTCCCTGGGCCCTCACAAGTCAGGTCCTGCCCCAGTTTGCCCACGAGGCTGGGCCTGAGCCTTGGCCTCTGCCATGGGATGCCCCCTCTTGGGCAGAGCCTGGCTTGTGAGCCCTGCAAGGACCTGCCTGTGCCTCCTGTGGGCTGGAGGTAAGCCAGGTCCTCCTGGGGGAGCTGGACCCCTGAGCTGAGGGTGCTGGGCACTGCAGGATAGAAGAGTCCTAGGGCTGGGGTCTCCCTGTGCCTCCTTACCGCATCAAGGAAACACCGGAGGAGCCTCATCAGCATGGAACCCTCAATGCACAGCCCTTCCTTGCCCTGAAGGGAGGAGCAGAGGTGCTCAGGGCCCCTGAGCTGCCCTGAAATCCTCCCACTTCCAGGCCCCTCTGCAGACCCTTCCTTAAGAGGCACAACCCAGGGTGATGGCCAGGGCTCCAACACCCGCCCCATGCACAGACACCCGGTGGACACACTTCTTTTAGCCCTGCTCAGCTGCAGCTCGGTCCTGGTCCCAGCGCCTCTGCCTCTGCCAGGGCAGGAGAAGGAAACCCAACACCAAAACCATGGGGAGTCTGCATCCCAGGTCAGGCCGTGGCTGGGACTCAGCCTCTTGCCAGCTCCATGAGGGATTCAAGCCTCCCCTGGCCTATGGGGCCCAGGGCCTCTGGGGAGGAGCCAAGGGTGTCATCCACTCACCAGGTGTCTCATGATCTTCGGGAAGGACTTGTGCAACACCTGCTTCTGGTGTGATAGGAGCCTCTCAAGCTGGGCAGCATCTGGGCTGTAGAATACTGAGAAGTCCCCGACCCATCACCCCATCAGATCCCACGCCCAAGATGTGGAGGCATCAGCTGGAAGATCTGGGCAGGGCAGGGGACCCCAGACCCCGAGGCCTCCCTCCCTCCCATCTGGTGACCCCAGCATGCAGCCTCAGCCTTGGCAAGGAGGGCCCTGGCTGGAGGTGCTGCCTAGTAGCATCCCGGGTCCAGGTGCCTGGAAGGCAACCTGCCTTTGACACCACAAGGCAGGCGCTGGTTGGGAGAACAGGGTGGAAGCTGGGGGCTATGTGGCCATCTCTTGGATGTGGGGTCACGCTGGGGGACATGGGATGGGCAGACACTGCCATCTTGGCTTTGTTGGCCCATCTGTAGGGAGGGAAGGTGGCTGGGAGCACAGCCAGCTGGGAGGCAGAAGGACTTTCAAGGAGGTGAGTGGCGCCTGCACAAAATTGGGGCTGGCTTTGGGCGACAGAGGGCGGCCTGGGGGAGGTATCCATGTCCTCTGATATTAGGGATGAAAGGCATCTGACGTGAGGTGAGGGGGTCCCTGTCCAGACCCACGCTGCTGTGGGACCTCAGAAGGGACATCCTGGAGGCTCCAAACAAGCTGGGATACAAGGAAGACACCTTGCCTGGAAGTTGGGGTCACCGGCCAGGGTGGCCATCCCCTGGCATGGCTGTGTAAGGCCTTGGGGGCAGCTGTCCACCTACCCTGCAGGGAGTGTCTCTCACCAGCCAGCAGCTGGGTCAGCGCCCAGAAAGCATCTTCCTCTGGCAGATAAAGGAGGAGGATGGCGGTGATGTGGCTCAGGTCCCTGTGGTAGCCCACCTCCTGCAAGAGCCAGAGTCACCGTGGAAGGATGTCACTTGGGAGGGCTGAGGCCACCTGGGAGGATTTACATCACTAGAGATGGCAGAGGTCCTTGGGGACACCTGCCTCAGGCCCCAGAAGATTTGAGGTGCAGCTGTGCACCCCTCCCCTGGCACTGGGCATGAGGACTGAGCAGATCACACACAACTCAGTTGACAAGGAGCATGGGTGGACTCCTGCAGCGAGCGTCCAAGCTCACATGGCCCGAAAGGGCACAGTCAGGGATTGTTCATGCTCCCTCCCCTGGGCCAGGCTGGGGAGGCCACTGTGCCAGGCCTGAGGCAGCACCTCTGAACTGCACCCGCCACGAGGGCAGGCAGCGGGGCGCTGACCACCACACAAAGGGTCCCGCGACAGCCCAAGGGCTGCCTGCCAGACACAGGGGGTGGCTGGGTCCTCCATGTGGGCAGCTCATGCAGTCAGCTCAGTGGCTCTTCTGGCCTGGAAGGGTCTGGAAAGTGGGGGCCAAGCAGGAGCAGCCATCTGGGTGACCCCCTCCCTATCTGCTATGCTCCTATGGGGTCTGGGCAAAGGGGAAATTGGATCATTGCCAAGTTTCCAGTGAAGAAGAGGCTCCCCCAGGATGCAAACTCATTTCATGACAAGAGCCTGGTCCATCAGGCACCTCAGCAACTTCTCAAACCTGTCTCCTATGAGGACCATCCTGCGTAGGCCCCTGCCAAGCTCCTAGGCTTTGGGGCAACACCTTGAGAGGAAGGTCATTTCTTCATCTGAGACGTGGTGATTGGGTCAAGGTGACAGCAGGAGTCTGGGCTTCAACCCTTTTCTGCCAGCAGTGAGCTTGAGTCCTGCCTACTACGAGCTGGTGGGTCACGAACACTGAATTTTCAAGAAGTGCCGACACCCCCAAGAGACACCCATGCCTGTGAATATGGGTACATGGCCCAGGAATATCGCTGCCCGGGAATACTCACAGGGTTATATGCAGAATAGGCCACAAGGATGTCACATAATTCCTGCTGCCTAGAAAAGAGGGAAAAGAGGATTTTGTTTGTTTTGTGCAGATGCTGTCAGTTTCATTTTCTCTACAAACCCAGACAGCAAACACAATTCTGGGATAAGATGATCCCCCAAATAAGCAGTGAGCTCTTCAGGACACCTGAGTTTTTAGGAATTTTTTTTCTGTAAAATCCATATTCCTTGCAATGCAAATATCGTAGGTGTACAGTTGGATCAGTGATTATTTTCACTCTGGTTGATTTTTTCTTCCCCTTTTTCTCAGTTTGCACACACAGAAGTCCAGTCTTTGGGATGTGCAGTTCCATGGTTCTGAACCAATGTGCAGAGCCTCCCGTCCACCACTGCAGCCCCTCCCAGAGTGGCTCCTTCAGCCTCCAAGTCCCCAGTGTGTCCCCTTTGCAGCCAATGTCTCCCAGCTCTGTCAGCCCCTGGCCATCCTGACCTGTTCTCTGTCTCTATGGTTTGCCCTTTTCCAGAATGGCCTATGAATTGGAATCCCACGGTGGTAGCCTGTGGGGTCTGGCGTCATTCCCTCAGCAATACACATCTAAGATCCACCCATGTTCCTGCGGGCATTAGGGGTTCGTTCCTTTTCCTCCCTGAATCGTCCCTCTGTGAAGAGTGGAACCCCCTTCCTCCTAAGTTCCCGTGTTGAAAAGCATCTCGGTAGCCTCCGGGTGTGAGTGACAATCAATCAAGCAGTGAATGTGGCATGCGGGTTTTACTTGAACCTCAGTTTTCAAATCAGTGTGGTCAATATCTGTCACACTTTGGGAATGTGTGGTACAAGGCCACTGAACTTTGTGAGTCACAGCCCATCTGACTTACAAAGTGGCTGTGCCCTGTCACGTTCCCACCAGCCAGGGATGAGAGTTTCCAGAGCCCCGCATCCTTTCTAGTATTTTGGGCTGTCAGTGTTGCCCGGGAAGGCTCCCAAGCCCTGCCATCTTGCCACCTTCTCATGGGTCCCTATCCTGGGTAGTTGTGGGTCATGGAGAGCACTTTTCACTGTCTGCATTATTATTATTTTTTTTTCTGCCTTCCATCTCCTTGTGAGCCACCTGGGTTCTGGCCCTAAACGTCCCAGCCCGGCGCAGGGTTTAGAGCCAGGGAGGTGCTCAGTCCATGGTGCTGGCTGCTCCCTGGGCTAGGAGAGCCCTTGGTGGCTCTGTCACCCCTCCTGGGTGACCCTGGCCTCTGCCCTGGGTATGCCCTCATCCCTCTGGATTGCCCCCATCTTCCCTGTGACCCCTGCAGCCCCCATAGGCCTTACTTGACTCCACATCTTTGTATGAACATCATGTGGTTCTGCAGGGTGCTGTTGACATCTAGCTGGATGCGGTGGATGATTCTGGAGGACCTCTTGCCCTTCTCCTTCATGACCTGTAGGGCAGGGCCAAGAGGAGGAAGCAGCCTCAGAACAGACAAAAGATTTCCTGCCCCAAACGGCAGTCATCCCACAGTCAGCACTTCTGGAAGGAAGCGAGGAAGGTTTCCTTCTGCAGAAAGCTCCTTTTTGCCTTGTTTCTGAAGCCAGGGAGGGTCACGGAGCCCAGTGCACCTGTGATGCCTGAGTCACCATCTGTGCCCAGGATGTGCATCTGACCACAGCCCCCATCCCCAACCCAGGCTCTACATTCCCTCCAGCTGGAGTCCTGGGCTCCTGATACAGCCTGGCTTGTTTGTCCTGCCCTGGCTGAGTGTGGGAGGGACTTACCTTATATTTGCCTGGATTCTGGGACTTGACTTTGTTAATATCTAGCAAAAGTGACCATGCCTGGCCCCGCACCGCCAGGGGGATGCCTTTGTATACTCTTTGAGACAGCTATAGACAGAAGAACACACCAGTGAGACAGGACACAGGGCGACTCCGCAGAGGACAGCTGGCGGACAGGCCTGCTGTGCTATGGTGAGGAGGGGGTGCCACCCACCCACTGAGGCAGACAGTGCCAGGTCTGCTATGGGTGCCTGTCCCCTGGCTCTGCAGAGAGCTGTCACGGGGGCCACTCCCTCCCCATGTTACCTTCTTGGTGTTCCTATATTTTGGCCATTCTGCAAACATCTTTAGCCACTTGTTGGTACGTTTACTTTCCTTGCGTCTTTGCTGTCAAATGAGCCATGATGGAGTTAGCGGAGCTGCCAGGCCCCTGGCAGTGGCCCATGGATGCTGGATCCAGGGCTTTGGGGCCCTGAAGAGACCCAGCCTGAAGGAACCAGGAAAGGGCAGACCCCGGGGGCTGAGATCCTCTGAAGGAACCAGAGCTGGTAGTCTGGACTGCTGATGCCAGAACAAGCCATCCTCAGGCCATAAATGCCCCGAGTTTGGGTTAGGTCCAGCCTTCAGCTGGGGTCTTGGTTCAAACAGGCAGTGGACTCTGAGCCAGGACTGCAGTTCTTGGTTTGGGTTTTGGTCAAGCCCTCATGGAAACAGAGTGAAGCAGGAAAGGTTGCCCCTCCCAGTGACAGCTGTGGCCCACTCACCACCACACAGGCCCATAGGCCACCCCCTCTGCCTCACTGACCACCCGATTCCTGGTCCCTGGAGCGGCCTCCCACGCAGCAGGCACAGACTCTTACCTTCACCTCCAGGGCTCTTATCGGGGGCAGTTCCGTCTCACTGTAAGGCAACCCAGGCAGATCTGAGGACCTGGCCGGGCCAGGAACCATCCCCCTACCTGAGAGGGCCCCAGGGAAGGACCAGCCTATCCCCATCCACCCTAAGTCTCAGCCTGGGAGAAGACACAGAGAAGGACGGCAAGGGCCTTCCTGCGGATCTGACACCTGCGAGGCACTGGGACCCTGGAGAGGAGGGAGCTCGAGGCTGGTCTGGTGGCGGCCACTCAGGGCCCATGGGGTGCCTTGGGCTGCACAATGGGGCTGCTCCTCCAGAGCTGGAGGTGACACCCTCTGTGGATGCTGAGAAAGTCCAGTTCTGAGACGGGATGGGTGCCGCCCCGGGTGGGTGGCCAAGCCCTGACTTACAGCAGTGCCTTAGGAGTGACCACATCACCCACCAGAGTCCAGGGAGCCTGGCCTGAGCGCTGCCTGGTGCCCTGAGGACACACCTGGAGGCCATCCCATCCGACACTCCCCATGGGCCTTGCAGGGTCTGATCTCCCAACGTGCACCTGCATCCTGGACGCTCACGCTGCCTGCTCCCCATCTTCCCCCATCCTGCCTGGCCCAGAGACTGTGACCCTCTCTCCAGCCACCCTGGCCCTTCTGTGACCCCATCCTGTCAGAACCTCTGAGTGAGACCTCCCAGATCCATCCACACCCATGCCTTGGTCACTCTCTCACTGGGCTGCCCAGCACTGCTGGGGAGATATCCAGGGCAACAAGGGTGACCAAGGGCCCTGCAGGCAGTGAGGCTGGCCCCACCACTCCCGCTGCAGCCTCAGCTGGCTCTCACGGTAATTGGCCTTCAGCCCTCAGCCTTCTCCCAACCACTGCAAAAACCAGGACATGGGATGCCTGCCTGTCCTCCGCCTACTGTCCTGTCTGCCCCGACTTGGCCCCTCCATCCACCCTGCACAGTGCTGACTGAGCCAGCAGGAAGCAGAGTCTCTGGAGGGCCACACAGAGCCTTGGGGACTGACCGAGTTCCCCCACTGAGGGGTCCCAGATGAGCCACTGTTCCCTGCCCACCCCATCTGTTGTCCTGCCCAGGCTGTCAACTCCACCCTGGGCTGGCTTGGTTCAGGTACGTTCCAGAAGTGGCAGGTCTCAAGGTCTCACCCTTCCCCCCTCCCCCAGGCTCCTCCCTCTCTCCATCCTGTGAGTCCTGAGGGGCTGGCTCCAGGCTGGGCTCCCCTTACCAAGCGCAGGTCTCTTCCCAGCACCACTCCCAGGGCCTTCAGCTGCTCGCTCTGTTGTCCCCCTGGCCTCAGTGAGAAGCCAAGGCCAGGACCCTGCCCTTCTTCTTCCACAACCTATCAGGGCCAGGGCCAAGGCCCTCACTGTCCCCATGCCCCTTCCTCTTGGCTGAGCCCCCTGAGCCCTCAGAGGTCTGCTATACAGCTGCCCACAGGCCAGGCCAGATGCCCCCTTGCCCTTTGGCCACAACCCTCAGATTTCACCAAGGCAGGCCCTAAGGGGACAGGGCCAGATCCTCAGGCTGCCTCCTCCTCTCCAGCTTACTTGGAGACGACAGTGCTGAGAGTCCACGGGCCTGCCCTGAGAGTCCCCTCTCTGTCCTGACTCCCTTTCCTGAGCTCCCTAAATGTGTCATGAGGCTATGCCCTAACCGTGACCACGGGCTGGGCCTGCAGGAGAGCCTGGAAGAGTTCTGACCCTGGAGAGGAGATTGGTCCAGCCAGGGAGACGTGTCCTACTTCAGAGAAGCCTTTCTAAAAGCAAAACCCATCCCTGAGGTGAGATTGGTGGCTGGGGGCGGGGGACAGAAGACTCACTGCACAATCCCGAGGTGATTCATGTATTTCCTGATGTTGACCTGCTCATTCCCCATGTCTGCTGCTGCCCCAGCTCGGTGTCCCTGAAACCCAGAGGAGGCCAGGGTAAGCGGGGGCAAGGTGAGAGGTGTGGGGGGCCCAGGGATGTGGGCAGCCCCTCTCCACCCTGTGATCTTAGGGAGCCCAGGACCCTCTGACCAGGGCACAGCGGGAGAGGCAAGGTCCTGCCTCCCTTGAGGGAGCAGCCCAACCTGTACCTGCTCATACTTAGTAATGATGGTGTTGCCTTGCCCCTGGGCAGGCAGGGTATCCGGGTCCTCATCCATCTCCATCCTGCAAGACAAAGTCATCCAAAGGCTCTGCCGCACCCGAGATCTCCAGAGCACAGCCGAACCACGCTCACTGCACTGCCAGACACACTCCAGTCTGGTGAGCCCCATTCCACCACCCCTCCCAGATGACAAGGGGCCAGACTATGTGGCCCCACCCCTGGCTGGATCTCTGGAGTCCTTGCCTCCAACCAGTGATGGGCTCCTTCCTGAGGACTTGAGCACATGGAGACCCATTCGGGGACAGAGAGGCCCATTGTCCCCAAACACCCCAAGGCAGACACACACCTGCCCCGGCAGGACAAACGGTGTCCACTTGCGGATGGTGAAGGGCCCACGATGGCCTGTTCTGGGCACCTGGAGGCAAGTGGAGTCAGGGACCGGATGTCTCTTAGGATCGTTCAGAAACCAGGAAGATACTCAGTTTTCTGTAGGAAGCAAGACATCTGGTGACTGCTTCATTCTGCCCCAATTCTCACTCACTCTAGCCAGTGAAGCCACTTCAGGAACAACACCAGCCAAGCAGTTTGGTTTGAGGAAAAGGTGATCTATTGACTCCGGAGCAGCCTCTGTGCTCGTGGAGACCCCGTCTCAGGTGGAGGATGGCGGACACCACAATTCCTAGCTGTCAATACCGGAGGGGGCTTTGTTTTCCTGGGTCACCAAGAAAGAACAAGAGAACTCTGGGGCCTTAGTCCTAGAGAACACCCGGGGGGACCGTCCCTGCCGGGAATACTCGGGGCAAAGGGAGGGTAAGGCCTCTAGAGGATCAGACAGAGAGAATGGGACGCTGCGGGAGGGTTCCAGTCCCCAAGCCCCTTTGACCAGAAGGGACGATCGTCACCCTCCAGGCAGCCCTCCAGGGCTCCTTCATTTTCCACAACTGCTTGAGGGCAGAGGGATCCCTGCCCCACTCCTAGACAAAGGATCCCATATGTCCAGTGGGTCCAGCAACCATCAGTGACCGCATCTGAAGTCTGAGTTGGTGAGCCCTCCTCCTGTGGGGACCCAGCTTAGGACCCAGACTTGGACTGAGAATTGCAACCTCCACCCCACCCACAGGGGCTCTGTCCCAGTGGCTCTTCCAGGACCAGACCCTGCCTCCTTGAAGTCCAGAACTCCAGGAAGATTTGGAATCTACAGTAGGGAGGCCACAGAGGTCAGAGCTCAAGTCCAGCATGGCAAAGGGTAGGGCTGAGAGCAGAGACCAGGTCACATCTGGGTCTCTGGGCCAGTCACCGCCTCTCTGAGTCTACACATCTCACCTGTGGAATGGCTACATTTGGGGCCAGCACCCACCTCACAGAGTCACTGTGAGGACAAAGGAGAGGGCGGTCCACTTAGTCAGTGCAGAACATGCACCTGGTGAGTGCTCAGGGATGACCCTCCTCGGCATCTACCCAGAGGTCACTCACCTGAGTCTGCTGAGGCAGCTGTGTCTCTCTTAGAAAAGTCGTTTATGCATAGAACCAGACACCTGTCTGTGTCCTGTGTCCAAGTGCTGCACAACACAGAGGTGGGCGGGTGGGCGGATGGGCAGTCACTAAGCACCAGTGACATTGTGGGGTCATGGCACCCATCACAATGGGCCACTGCCCAGGTCAAGAGGGCCCAGAGTCAGTGTCCTCCAGCCCCCAAGGTGTCAAAATGTGTTTGTGCAGGTGAGCATGCACGTTTATGTGGGTGAACATGTGTGTGCACAAGTAGCTTCTCTGGCCAGGGCTGGCTGTCCCACTTACATGTGCACCCAAGTCCTCATCAAGTCCTCAGCAGTGTCACCTTCCCTTGAGGCCTGTGGCCAGCATCAGAGCATCCATGGGTCCTCCCCAACCTCAGGCCTCCCCACCCAGGGCAGTCCTGAAGATGCAGATGGGGGATAGGAGGTAGAGGGCACGGGACAGGGCCCCTCATTAGGGGGAACTCAGCTAGACTGTAAAATGCTAGGTGTGAGTGGCAGGGTCGGATTCCACACACCTTCTCACCTCCTCCTCCCAGAAGCCTTCCGGGGTGCCATGACTCATAGCTGCTACGGATGGAGGCAGGGAGGCTCTAAGGACAAACCCCGTGCCTGAAGTCACCCAGCAACCATCTGGCCAGGCCCCCACTAACCAGACCGCTGCTGGCCAGGCTTTCACTGACCATTTTCCCAGTGACCAGGCCTTCTGACTAGGTCCTCGCTGATCAGGCCCCTGATGACCAGGCTCTAACTGACCATGTTCCCACTGACCAAGTTTTAATTGACTAAGCCCCAGTGGCCAAGACTCTGCTGACCAGGCCCCTGATGACCAATTCCCCACTGACCATGTCCTCGCTGACCAGTCCCCCAGCAACCAGGCCTTCCTGACCAGGTCCCCACTGTCCAGGTCCCCCCTGCCCAGGCCCCAGAGCAGCAGTGCTCAAGGTCCGCTACCAGAACTGCCCACAGGCAGAGGGCTCCCTACTCCCAGACAAGGGACCCCATGTGTCCAGTGGGTCCTACAGGGACCATCAGTGACTGCATGTGAAGTCTGAGTTGGTGAGACCTCCTCCTGTGGGGACCCAGCTTAGGGCACAGACTTGGACCGAGCACCACCTCCCTCCACCCCACCATAGGAGTTCCATCCCAGGGGCTCTTCCATGGCCAGACTCTGTCCCATCAGGCGGCAGAAAACCCTGGGCAGATTTGGAATCTAGGGCTACAGAGGTCAGGGCGTGCACAGGGCAGGACTGAAAGCACAGGCCAGGATCACATCTGGGTCCCTTGGCCAGTCACTACCTCTCTGACCCTAGACATCTCACCTGTGGAATGGGTGCATTCGGGGACAGCACCCACCCCACAGATTCCACCAGGTCAGTCCAGAACAGGCACCCGGTGAGTGCTCAGGGATGACCCTCCTCAGCACCTGCCCAGAGGCCAGCACTGCCCACCAGGTACTGACTGTCCCCAGGTCAGCAGGGAGGGAACAGAGCAGGTCACACTCACCTGAGTTGGTTGAGTCGGCTGTGTCTCTTACTTAGCAAAATCTCCTCTTCTGAGAACCAAACAACTCTATGTCTTGTCTCTAAGAGCTCCAGACATAGAGAGGGCAGGCAGGCAGGTGGGCGAGTGCTCAGCACCAGTGATATTGTGGGGTCATGACACCCATCACAATGGGCCCCTGCCTGGGTCAGCAGGGCACAGTCAGCACCCTCCACCCTCTGACGTGTCAACATGCTTGTGTGCAGTTTGTGCATGTGAGCAGGCACGTGTATGTGGGTGAACACATGTGTGCATGCCTTTGTCACTGCTCTGGCTGGGCCCGGCTGCCCCACTCATATTGCACCCAAGACACTGGGTCACCCTTGTCACTGTCTCCTGCCTCGGGACCCATGGCCATCGTCAGAGCATCCACGGTGTTCCCTAAACTCAGACCTCCCCATCCAGGGCAGTCCTGGCATTGCAGATGGAGGATAGGGGGCAGAAGGTTGAGGGTTGGGGGCAAAAGGCAAAGGGCAGATCCCCTCCCTAGCAAGGGACTCAGCTAGGCTGTAAAGTGCTAGATCTGTTTGGCAGAGCTGGATTCCACACACCTGCTCACCTCCTCTTCCCAGCAGCCCTCTGGAGTGCCATGACTCGTTCCCACTACAGATGGCGGCAAGGAGGCTCCAAGGACAAATCCTGCCTGAAGTCACCTACCTAGTAGCCACCTGGCCAGGCTTATGCCAGCCAGGCCCCCACTGACCAGGTTCCCACTGACCAGTCCCCCACTGGGCAGAACCCTGAGCTGCGGTGCTCAATGTCCCCTGCCAATGACTCCTCCCTCAGTCCACAGACCTCCCTTTCCCTTATCAGCACCCACAGGCCATGCCCTAGGGGGTCTTCTTGGTCAGGCCCTTCCTCCAGGACACAGGGAGGGACAGTTGGCCTCAGCCTCTGGGTGCCCAGCTTCACACTTGCCCCCAAAAGCCCTCTGGGCTCCCCTCAAAGGGGGTAGTGAGGTGGCCTGGCACTGCCCGGACATGATATCTCAGCCTATTCCTGAGCCGCAGAGCCAGAGGAACGGGGGGACATTTTTCAGACCAGGCACCCCATTTTGCTGGGTCTCCCAGGGTTCTTCCTAGGCACAGCACCGAGGCTGCAGGATGACCGGCCCAGAACCCTTGAGACTAGGCTGGGGACCGCATGAGAACTGTCCCCAGATGACCAGAAGACCCTTTGCTAATTTCCTGGTACCTCATTTCTCACCAGTTACCCTTCCCCCACCAGGAATCCCCTTCTTGCAGAGTCGATGAGGAGAGGAAGATGGTCACAGAATCCATGGAAAGAAAGAAAACAAAATGACAATAGAGCGTCATCTATTTCCTGTCCATCCAAAAGGAAAGCCTAAGGAAGCCTATTGGGTTCCATCATCCCGAGGGTCCCAAGGATGGCATCACACAGTGCAATGCCCAACAGCAGGGGCTGTGCTCCATCCCTGCAGACGTCACTGAGGGCACAACTGGGGTTGTCCAGGGTCACCGACTTGGCCACACAGCAGAAACTGGGTCAACAGGAGTGCACACATGCACACATGTGTACACTCACATACTGGAATAAAATGAATTGAATTTTGTAGCAAGTGTCCACGTGAACACGCATGCACACACACACACACACACACACACACACATATAAACTTGTTGCTGATCTGTTGACTTATCTCATTGGCATGAAACAGCAGCTAAGCCTGTAATTGCTCTGCCTTTCCCGGGATTTTTCCTTTAGTTTCTCTGACTGCTGGGTTACTGGCCTATGTTTAGCTTCATGAACATGGGTTTCACTTTATTTTTATAGCGTTCCAGCTCTTGCTCATGGAATCCCTCCTTGCCTGTTCTGTAATCTTCCCTTGTTTACTGCCTGTGGACTTCAAGTACCAGACACAGAGAAAGCTTTGTAGAGACTGTTTACTCCACCCCTACAATTTCCATGGCAGGTCTCTTAATTCCCATCACCATCCAGGGAGGGTCATTGCTGGGATCCTAGGAATCATGTGCCTTGTCTCAATGGCCACAGTGGTAACCATAATAGTCCGTTCTTCCCTCTGTGCAATTCTGGAACATAAAAATCTTCTCTGGTAACAAGACTACAGAAAGCAAAGAAAGTAACATTAAACAGAGTTTGTTGGCCTGTGTTCCTAAGAAATTTAATGTTTTTACATAAATAATGAAGAAGAAATGACTTTTCTAAAGTTCCTATCATTTATGCCATGGATTGGACTCTTCTGTGAAAGCCGTTTCATTGATGGATGTGGATAGTTAGCTTAATTTCAAGTAAAAGGTTAGAGAGCAAATTGTAAACACAACTGTGCTTTTTGACACTCAAACGACATTAATTAGTTTTGGATCTCTAGAAATACATATTTGCATGCATAGG